GCCTCACAAACCTGTGCTTCGAGTGGTTCTGGGTGGGAGGTGTTGCAAGCATCACTTCGTGCATTCGTACGACCGTTCATTGCATTGGCATCCTTGTTTTCATGCATTGGCCAACCGCAGTTGTCTGCACATTCTGCAGCCCTGTGGGCGTCCCCTGCAGTTGTGTCGCATAACAGTAGTGTAGCACTAAGTGCAAAGATGTCTGACTCATTCCAACTAGAATGGATTGCGGACTCAGGAGCGGGTCGAGACTTAGCATCCGAACGTGCATTCCTAGAACAAGGGTTTCCCATGTCCTTTGTACAAAGTTGCATTCAGTCCTGCAAGCCAATCAAATTCGAAACCGGAAATGGGACGTATGTTAGTGATTCCTGTATTGAGATGCCAGGTTCGACGTTTGGCAAAGCCTCGTTTCAGGTGATGGATGGCTGTCCTCTCGTTCGGTCCTTGGGTAGGATAGTGGAAGAAGAGAAGCGGCCATTCATATGGATCCCTGGCAGTCCACCATTTTTTGGTCTCAATCCAGATTCGGTTCAAGTGACAGCTGATGCCTCATCCATCGTTAGTGCAACACGTGTTGAAGATGGGGTTCCAATCTTTTCTGAAAAAAACACAACAACATCATCTCATGCTCTTGCTGCTGGTAGTTCTGCAGAACCTAGAAGTGCCAGGAGATGCGATAGTGATCAGGGATGATGGGATAGCTTCGGATGCAGGTTCAGAAGACGGTGCAGAAGAGCCAGTGAATCGCTACAGAAGATTGGCAATAGAAGCTCAGTCACTAGAACACCGAATGTGTCATTTGCCAAAGAATCCAACATGTCCCATATGCCAGCGTTCAAGAATGTACAGAAAATCTGTAAGAAAACTGCGTCATGATCCGTTGACTGACAGAGGAGCATTAGAACCAGTGACTCACTTTGGGCAAAGAATCGCCACGGATTTTATCGTTGTTCAGAAACTCAGTTCGGGCAAAGAACACATAGTCCAAGTCATACGAGATGAACACAGTGGTTGGCTAAGAGCTTTTCCCCTAGCCAGGAGAGATACTACATCTGTGGTTGGTGATATCCTTTCCTTCCTAGGACCCTCGTATGATCAGCCCTCAGTGATGGTTAAGTCAGATCAAGCACCCGAGACAAGAGCCGCATGCAAGCAACTAGGATGTGTTTTTGAGGGTTCGCTAGAAAATAGGTTCCCACATAACTCCGTCTTAGAAAGGGATATGAGAACCATCGAAGAAATTGCCCGTGCATGCCATCTACAAGCAGGTTTTGACTTGATCCCTGGTTTGTGGACTCACTCCGTTGACTATGCTGCCACTATCATCACCGCTATGCACAAGCCTTCAGGTAAAGATCAGACAAGACATTTCTTAGCCACAGGTGCCGAGTCTTCTGGTCGAAAGTTGTTGCTTGGACAGCTAGTGCATTATCGCGTAGATCCGTTGCAGCGCGGAAAGTTCGATGCCTCCACAAAGCCTGGACTGTTCTGTGGATATAGATATGATGCAGGTCCAAACTCTTTCAAAGGTGTATATTATGTAATCGACTATGCAAAAGTTAAAAACAGGGATGCCAACTATGCAAAAGCTATTGCTGTCCCAATGGAAGAACTCTATGTTGAGGAGAAGGATCCAGTCCTGCCGTTGAAGCAAGCAGCAGACACAGCACTGGCTACCTTCACTGATGCAGCTTTGGCCGACATCACCCCACTAGATGTGCCTTTCTCCAATGTCTCAATTGAGACAACCACCAAGCGTAGCGAGTACATTACCCTTGATCGCATCATCCGTTTTGGAGCAACTGAGGGTTGTCCTGCATGCAGGTTCGGTTCGAAGCACCAAATAGCAGACACACTCCCATTTGCAGAGCACGGTTTAATGGCCTGGTTCGAGCAGAGACGATAGCATCATCTACTGCATCGAAGGAAGCAGAACCAAAGACTCCTGCTCCTGTTCCTGAGACACCAGCCTTTGCACCATTGACTCCAGCCATTGCAGATGATGTTGAAGAGGTTCCACCTTTGTCGAGGGCGCCTGATGAGCCTGAAGTTGATCCAGCATCATTTTCGGCAGGCATCAAACCAGGTGAAGAAGATAAAGAGCATGGCTTAGCCGCTAGAACCAACAATGTTGTTGATGAAGAGTTTCTTCAGAGCAACGCCAATAGGCGAAGATTCCGTAGGATAAATCTTCAGACAGGTCATAATACCATCTTTGAACACGCCTGCTCAAGTGATTCTGCTCTAGGACATGCAAGTGCAGCCATTGGAGTCGAGTGCATTAGACTGTCAAGAGATACAATTGACCTTTCGGACTCAAAACAAGTTGGTCAGCTGATACAACAGGTTGAACAACGTCCAGGGGCCGATGCGTGGATTAGTTTGCCTTGCACTGACTATACACCTTGGCAGCACATGAACATTCATCGACATGGTGAACAGTTTGAAAAGAAACTCCATGAAAGAAGAAAGAAATCCAAAAGGATGTTCAAACTAGCCAAACGTTTTGCACGGAAGATCCTTGACACCGGGGGTAGGGTTGCAATCGAATGGCCAGCTGACTCGGGTTGGTGGGACTTAGAAGAGGTCCAAGAGTTTGAACGCCAGCACTGCTTCCGAAGAGTGTATTTCCATGGATGCATGCTAGGGGTAAAAGGAAAAGAATTGCCAATTAAGAAACCGTGGTGTGTGTCAACTTGTGATGAACGGCTGATCCAAATCTTCTCACAGTTTCGTTGCGATGGAAACCATCAACATGAACCAGCAGAAGGTAATCAGACCAATCAGACTGCACAGTCATTCTCGAAAGTTGGTTTCCCAAGCAGGCATACCATCACATATTCCCAACGTATCTAATGCCAACCATGCATGTGTGACAAAGAACTTGTCCCGAGCAGAGTGGACAAGGGATGAGCGTGGACTCAAGGCAGTTCAAGATGAGGCCGCTGGTCTCAGAGCAAATGGCACTTGTGATGACAACAGCGTCGCCACGCTGACCAACCTAAAAGCTCAAGCCAAGGCAACAGGCGTCCAGCTGAAAATAGCATCCCGACTCACACTTTGCGGTATTAAATACTGGGAATGCCCTAGTGACCAATGGAAATATAAGGGAAGGATTGTATATAGGGAGACCTTGTTAAAGACCAGAGTGATCACATAGTACTCTTCGAAAATACAGCCACATGTCCGACAGGGCTGACTGCATTGAACATCACTTTGTTCTATGGCATGTTGGAAGGGAATTCCGCAAGCTGTGGAGACGCTGTGCAAGCGTTCTTGCAGGCACCCTTGGAGGAGGAAACATGGATCATCATAGGAGAGGAACTGTGGTTACCAGCCTGGTTTGACATATATCCTCGAGGCACAAAATTGTGCGTCCGTCTCATGAAAAGTCTTTATGGCCATCCTCTCGCAGGAAAGCTTTGGCAAGAATACTTAAACAGTCGTCTCAAAGCTTTAAATGCCGTAGAGCTTGAAGGGTTCCCATCAAACTTCATCATTCCACGCAAGGGCAACAAGCACTTGTTGCTCAATGTGTACGTCGATGACCTCACTGTCAGCGGCGAGACATCCTTGCATGAGGAATTCTGGAGAGATCTGCGAACCTGAGGTATATCTGTCTTCTGAGGGAGTTAGAATCCTTGGGCGCTTTCATCGCCTTAAGAGAACCAGCACAGGGGCAACTTTGGATCTTGACATGAGATCGTATGCCACCGGCATCGTCGAGTTCTATCGTGGTCTTTGTGGAATTGAGATGACTTCTCTAAAGCGAGTGCCGTCACCGGCATTGCCTGAAAGCTCAATGACGGATCAAGAAGCAGAAGAACAAGGAGTCCTTCACAACCAAGCATCGAAAGTGCTTATGCGATTGCTTTGGCTTTCCCGTTTATCACGACCTGATTTGAATTTCATTATTGGACGTCTGGCTGCAAACGTAACCAGATGGTCGAGGTGGGACGATCGTCAGTTGTTAAGAGTCATTTCCTACCTGCATCACTCATCAGAGTTTGTGACAGTAGCCGCTGTACAGTACAACTGTATGCCAGAGATACATGTCTACACTGATGCTGATTTTGCAAGCTGTCCGTGGTCTGCCAAGTCGACCACCGGAATTGTGATTTGTCTCATAACGGGAGATGCTAAGTGGCCAATATACTGGCAGAGCAAGAAGCAGTCTAGCATTGCTCGTTCAACATCTGAAGCAGAGTTGATAGCCATGAGTTCAGCACTCTTTGGAGAGGTTCTGCAGATACAAGACATGCAGCATTACCTTTTGGGCGGGCGACCGGACGTGCACTTTCAGCAAGACAATCAAGCAGTAATCAAAATCGTTGGAAATCAATATAGCGTGAAATTGCGACACTGTGGGCGCGTGCATCGCGTCAACATCGCTTCAGTCTCTGCCTTGATGACTGAAGAAGAACAACAGGTAAGCTTGTCCTATTGCAACACCCAGGACCAGCTAGCCAATCCTCTTACGAAGATTCTGGCACCTGCGCAATGGCCCGAAGCCCTTCTTCAGCTACAAGTCCGAGAGATTGCTACGTAGTTAGTTCCAACACCTAGGTTGCAGAGCGACCATGGAATCGTGTGGTACTGTGTGTACCTACCTCAATTGTAGATGCATATGACACTTTACTCGAGGGGGGAGTTGAGAAAACACAGGGAATCCAGCCCCTTTTCATGTATAGCTCATACGTGTCATGTTGCATTGTCTCATTTTGCTTTCGCACCTTGTATGTTTGGCTCAAGCGCTGTGAAAATAAGCTTGCGCCTTGCTGTGGTTGCAAATTGGTTCTGTACCATTGAGGTTGTGTGGTACTAGAACTAACGACTCATTTTTTCTTAGTTTCATTCATTTCCAAAGAGGCCAGGGATATCAACTTAGACGCAGAATGAAGCAGGCGCAGTCAGTTTCTGGCGCTGCTGCATGAGAGAAGAGTAGGGTATCTATTGCACCCTGCTGTGCGGCACAGTCGTGCAGTTGGAAACCCGAGGCCAAAACTGGATCTTACGATAAAGAACTTGATTGGTCCCAACATGGAGCCGTTGCTGCTTGGGCTGCAAAGAACTCTTCAAAACTGTCGGCCGTTTCATTGATGTTGCGCCTGCTTAAGTTTGCAATATGATGCAATCGGACATGCAACCGGACCTAAAACACGACGTTGTGGCAGTAGTGAAACTCATACTGGGTCAATGGGCCTTTCTGTAACGATACCCAGCAATGTCTTTGAGATATCCGGCAATGTCTTTCAGAAAGAGAACTAATTTTTTTTTCCGTGACTTTTGTGTAGGCAGCGATTATATTAATCCAGGAAAGTCAGATATAAGTCCAGGAAAATACAGGCGTGGAAAGGCTCATTCAGCGAAGGATAATCAGAATCACAGCGTCCTCTGGAGAATGACTCAGGTCAGAACATGTTAGAACAACTTGTGAAAGTGGAATGAGATATTCTGATATTCCCAGGTATTGCATCTTGCAATAGTATCAAATAGTACACGTGCATGTAATTTATGGTTCGGATGTTCATACCAGTGCAACAGCAAACAAAATAAAGGTCTCTTGAATCAAGATCACAAATTCTGGAACAAGAGCTTGGCTCGTCCAAGAGTACGGTAGCTTTCCGTATCTGCCAAGGGACGAAGAGAAGATGCTCGCAGAAGAAAACGTCATGCCTGGCACAACGCTGACGGTCGTTGCAGCGGCCTGGCATGTGACAGGAGCAATGTCACAGTAGTTCACCTGTCAGTGGTTGGGGGCCTTCAAATTCAAACAAGATTGAACTCTTTTGCAGAAAGAGAAGAACAAATTGCAAGAAGAACAAGTCAAGAACGAGTCAACCCATTTTGACATTGACATAATGACATGATAAGCATCCCCAGGTCAAGCAACACAACCAGCGCATTGCAGCGCATGCCCATGATGATTGTTCAAATGCTTCAACATGCACCATACTGATTTCTTGTTTTGGGATGGCGGGGCAAAAAACATGTTGTGCAGCATTGCATGTTCAGAAGCATTTGTCGAGACCCGACCTGGAGGACCATTTATGTCCATGTCTATGTCTGTCACATTGCGCGTGGATAATGAAGGCAAACATGCTTCATGAAGTGGTGGATCCTCAGCATGAGACCGCCTCCCTAAACAAGTTTCCGGACTTGACTTCAATGAAAACACTTGTAATTCACCGGTGAGTTTTGTGTCTGTTCACTTGGCAGCTGAGGTAAACCAGGCAGCAGAGGATGAGAAAGAAGCGGCAGAATGCTGGGCTCTCAGCAGTTGATCCCGGGTCTGCTCCCTGCATGGTCAGCGCTTTCTCGACACATCTCGACACACATTGCACGAACTTACCAAACTAATTCTGAAAAGATATCCCATCATATCCCATCATATCCCATCATATCCCATCTGACCTCAAAATCAGATGTTTCATATTGTTTCATGATGTTTCTATTTTCTCCCAGTCTTCGTTCTATACAATTTAAGCATATCCAAAACATACAATACACATAGTTGTTGAGCCAACAAATTAAGAGGAGTCAGACTGATTGCATGAGGTCATGTTGAGGTCATGTTGAGATCTATGGATTGTCTTAAAACCAAATCATCATGTACTTGAATTAATTGTGGTTACTTAAATTTAGATTTCATTCTAGCTCAAGTCTTCAAACTTAGATTAAATTCTAGCTTAATTCTTGTAAAGAATTTTGGGTCTCCGTTGTGGCCTCTGCGGCCCTTCCACCGGTGCCCTCCGGGGCGGCCCGTGGCCCTCCGAGGCGGCAACGACATCGTCGCGGCGGCCTTCTACGGTCACCTCGGCGGGGTCCGGCACCTGCTGCGGAGGGACCCCGGCGCCGTGGCCGCGACGGACGTCGACGCGGAGGGACCCCGGCGCCGTGGCCGCGACGGACGTCGACTGGGGCGCCACCGCGCTGCACCGGGCGGCGTACGGCGGCCACGTGGAGATGTGCTGGGTACTGCTGGCGGCGGGGGCCGAGGTGGACGCCGGGGACGACGATGGTTTCTCGGCCCTGAAGAGATGGAGACGGTGCTTTGGGGAGATTTCAGGGTGCCAAGAATTTCGAACGCAACATGTGAAATGTAGAGGTTTTGGTGAGTAAAACATTGTAAAACTTTGGGCGGTTTTGGTGGGCTTGGTAGGTTTTGAAACCTAAAAAAGACAGTTTTCAAGCTTCCAGTTGAAATCATTTGGATCAACAACCGCACATGGACAGAATTTGAAAAAACAGAAGATATCAATAGATATCACACGATTGAAACAACTACAATTTCAATCATGAAAAGAACTGAACTTGGCGGTATTTGGGGCTCCTGATGGAGCCTTGGATGTGCAGCTTTTCGGAGACTTGGCACATTCATGGATTTTTCACAATCTTTTCACAATCTTCGGTGTATTCGCTTCGCTTTGCATCAGAAGGACATTTCTGGGAGCAGTCTCTCGCCCGAGGCAGCACCCCGCTGCATTTCGCGGCGAACAACGGCCGCGTGGAGGTGGTGAAGCTGCTCGTCGAGGCGAAAGCTTCCGTGACTGTGAAAGGCAGGAATGGCCGGGGGCCTCGACTGGGAGATGTGGTGGGTTTTTGATGGCTTTTGCTTACTTCTCTTATTATGTCTGGTTAATTACTGTAATCGTTATTACTTTCTGGCGGCTGTTTTGTTTGTTGAACGTTGAGACTTCCTGTGGTCAGTAGTCAGTCAAGGTGTGTTTAGCTGAAGGTGATTGGAGATGCGGAGACACAGTACGCATTTAGATTGACATTCTACGACATCCTCAAGACACAGCCTTGCTTGAAACAACACAAGCAGCATGAGAAGACGTCTCAACTGATGGAGACTCACTGAATCTTTGTTGATATAAAATGATAGAAATGTATCATGATGTATCATATGGTCAATGGTATCTGTGAATGTGCACAACGCACATCCAGCCTCCGCATGTGCAATACGTTGAATGAAATGATGCGTGCACAATACTGTACATACACACATCCTCATTTGTTCCAGATATTTGTCAAGACGCGAGAGCGAAATTTTTCAAAACCGAACTTGCCATCTCAAAGCTGTATGGACATTTAATTTATGGACAACCTGATTCTCTGTTTTTTTTTCATTGGAATTCTTTGCCCTCCTGGACTGAACTACAAAAGGAACCGTCCAATCGGTTGATTTTGTGTTGAGGTAGGCATTTTACTTGAAAGCAACATCTCGGGAATACTTTCTTGTGAGAAGCACCATTTCAAATGCCTGGAGATTCATTATCCTGGAAAATTTCAGGAGTTTCCGCTTTTCAGTTATTTCAGGAGTTTGAGGTGTTTCATGTCGTTTCACAGCGCGACACCGCCAAGTGGGGCCATCCACAAACCTTGAGAATCTGAAAATGTTAGCTCTCCGTCATTTTGGGATTTGCGGATTTTTGCGGATATTTGCGGGAGTTTTGCGGATATTTGCGGGAGTTTTGCGGAAATTTGCGGGAGTTTTGCGGGCACATAATTTCCAACGTTTTCGGTGGCAGCTTTCACTTTGCTCACCTCAACCCTCAGACATTGAAAAACACCCTGGACATCCAATTGCCTTTCCAAAAACCAAAAAAACACGGAATTTTAAGAGTTTCAGGTGTTTGACGTCGAGAACTCATGGATTTTTCCAGGATTTTGAATCTCCAGGTGTGTTCTTTGTTTTGGTCTGGGGGTTCGAATTTGAAGGTCTCCTTCAACTTCGATGCCACAAAAGGATGCGGAAGTGATGTGAAACTGCAGTCTTTCCAGCTTTCCACAAGTTTCAACACAGTCTATGAACGCTACCATGAAATTAATGGCAAGCTCTGGACTCTGGCCCTGTGGTTCAAGGAGGGCTTGTCTCTGGGAGATAGAACTTCCCAATCAACATTGTTAACATGGGGTGTGAATAGCGTTTGGAGCAACTTGAATAACTGGCGTGAAGAATGACGGCAACAATGTTTTGTTTTAAAGTGACCGAATTCGATACATCAGACGCTCTACAAATCTCTACAAGTAAATTCTTCAATATATGGCTTTTGAAATGACATCAAGACCCATGAGTGTGGTGCAATCAACATCAATTACAGCGCTCAGGCCAGACTCCATTGGACGATGCACGAAGCAAGGGCCACGATGAAGTTGTGAAGATTCTTGAGAATGACGAGTCTTGGCTGCACACATGTGTCAACAAGAGCAGGTCGTTCGTTTCAGAGTCCGAAACTTCCAGCAAGACGCAGCTACAGTCTGAGGCATGAAGCTTGAACGTTTGTGCCTGGAGCAGCTCAGCTGTTGGTGCGATCTCTGGATTGATGGTGCGGCCTTCATGTTTCACGCGCCCTTGATCGAATCGGGACGAAAATGCAAACATCTGTGCGCGCACAAATAGATTACTGTTTTGTGAGGTGCAGAATTGAAGGAACATGTTTCTCATTTGGGCTCTTTTATTGCTCAGATATGTTTCGACCACAGAAACGACACTCTATCAGCGAGCCTTCTGGAGTTTCCTTCCAACCATTTTGTTTGCTTCAAGTGTCTGGAGTCATCATGCTGCTTCTTGGCACATCCTGGTTCAAGCCTCGGAAGATTGAAATCAAGCCTCAGTCGCCATGTGCAGGTGACAAACTTGCCAGCTTGCTAGCCCATTTGACAGGGACAAATTCACAGGGTTGTCAGTTTCCATGCTGGAATTGCTCAGGTCCCCTCTCATTTGGATTGGTCCATTGGTTTTGCCCATTGAACACAAACCTCCCGCTGCTGCATGGCTGCGCGAGTGGCTCCAACTCTTCAGGCTGGAAACGCGCTTGCCTTGGCCTACACATGCTGAAAGTCTGACAATAGTTAAGCTGGGCAATGAGGTGTTTTATTGTGCCTAAAGGATCCTAAAGGTATGAATATGTCGACTGTTGGAAAACGCAGAACATGTTTTTATTTGCTACCATTCTGTTTGCCATTCGCTGTCATTTAAAACGGTCTTGAACATCCTGACATGGGTGCCTTCTCATCGAAAAAGCAAAGAATCTGATGATTGCGTTCATTGGATTGTGCATGTTTGAACCATGTTAAACCTTCGCCCAATTCAACCACAAATCCGCGGAACGTCGTTGTGATGATGTTTTGGGTGGAGTCTTGAAGAAATTTTGTAGAGCCTCATTTGGATCCACTCAAACTCTCGGGGCCTGCAGACACTTGTCGCACACTGGCCATCGGCCTCGACTTGTTGAACCCTTCTCCAAAGTTGAGAACTTGGATATCCACAAAGAAAACTCTTGAAAGTTATCAGCGTCCCACCTCAATTTTGTTGTCTTCCCCAACCTAAATTATGCGGGCAGTGTCCACGACCTCGCATGATCTGGGTAGAAAGAGATGTCTCAGAGAGGCGCCGTGTAAGCCAACGGCGGAATCGGTCAAGTGTAAAGAACATAGGCCCAACATCACACATTCTGCGCCAAACTCATATTTGGACGAGTGTTTCTGTGGGCGATCCAGACCTTGCAATTAACCACTTCAGTCCAACCATGAAATCTTGTACCATGCAGCAGCCTCGTCCACGCTCCCCATGTTTTCTCAGTGCATTTTCAATGAACAAATCAATTCCACGCATTTCGTATGAACTTCGTTGACCTTGCAAAGTTCAATTAAATTTTAAGGGGTGCACTCTTCTGAGCTTGGTACTACAACTCCGAAACCAGAACCCATCCACATCAACTCCAGATCGCATGGGCAGAAACATGCCAAACATATCCAAAAGTCTTCAACAACCTGGTAGTGTTCGGCCTTGTTGATTCGTGTTGCCTTGCCGGTGTCAGCCCCTTGGCAAAACTGCGTTCAACGTCTCTTGACAAGTGCTGCTTGCGCACAGGAATTAGCTGGGCCCCATGCCTCCAAGTGCAATTCCTTGATTTCCAATCACACTCAAGTGTGAAGATCGGACAAAGTGATATCCCAAATACCAGAAGGGTGCAGTGCATATTGCAGGTGTTGCTAGTTCTTGTTTTCGGTGCGCCAGGACCCCGAAGAGCTGGTAAGTCATGCAGGCCACGGAGATGCTGATGGTTGGTGGCAGGGGCTGTTTCCGCTGGAGGAGTGTCTTAGAATTTTTGGTTGGAATGTATGATCCTGATTGTCGACTGAAACGGACACTATTCAGAATTTTCAGACCTTAAGATGTCAAGATGTCTTGACTTTTCAGACCTTAAGAATCCTTAAGATGTCTTGATTTGTCTGCTGGAGTTCTGAAGTATCAGCTGTACCAGTAGGTTCATTAGGGTCAACGGATTGCCTAAGAAGTGCGCGCAGAATTGGAGGTGTTGGTTTCTCTTGAAAACACATATCTCTTGAAAGCAAAACAAGCAGTCTATGGTGGTCTTTGACTCTCGATTTCAGGGTCTCACCTTTCAGGGTCCACAGCAAATTGCAGGAATTGCACACCCAGAATTGCGGAGGTTTGGCTTTCGGAGCTGGGTTGTGTTGCGAGGCACCACACCTCACGACCTTGCAAAGGACGACGATGACCAGAAGGTCATGGGTTTTGCGGGAGCCAGTCCCATGGCAATACAGTGTTCAATATGATCAATATGTCAAAATGTTCAATTGTTCATCATCTTTTTGCCTGTAGTGCTGACACAGGTATAATTATTCAGGAACTGGCTGGTTGGACCTTGAGTCTTCAAGTGTAAATCCTTGTGGTCTGCCATCAAATTCTATCGGAGCGCGTCTAAAGTTGCTTCACATGGTGTGAGGGTTGCTCATAGAACCGACCTTCGACTGGCAGAATCTAGCTAGCAGCTAGCTAGCAGCTAGCTAGCAGCTAGTGCATGAGCCAAGTGGCCAGGTTTTCGTGGCTCTGCTGAGCGGCAAAGACTGTGAATGTGACTCGGCCGCCCCATGGATACACCTTCCTTTGTCCATGCAAGGTGCAAGATGGTGTAAGCTAGTGTAAGCATGTAGAATCGCTATGAATCGCTGCTGTTGACGTGCAAAGAAATGGCTACTGTCGATTTTCAAAAGTTACTGTTGCAAATTCATGAATCGATGTTGTTCTCCAAATTAAATGGCATCAGATGTGATGACCTGGTTGGTGCCCTACACGGTTGCATCGGTGGACTATGTTGATACCTCCACTGACTCTCGTTTGCGAATTCGGAATGTCAGGCCTGTGGTTGCAAGACCGGACTATCCGACAGCTGAAAGAAGAAGCTCAGCACCTTAGCAAGTTAGGTGTGCGGCATGTCACGTGGGGTTTGGATGGTTTGGTCCTGGCTTGTCTTTGGCGACTTTGTATTCTCTACGACACTGTCTTGGTGTTTTTTGTCTCGGTGCTCCTTCTGCCAGGTGTCTGTTACTGGTTGTGCTATGTGCAACAGTTGTCAAACTGGAGTCGAGGAAGAACATGCCCAAGGCATTTGCATGGCCTTCAATGCTCGGTTGTACTTCCTATTTCTGGTGGTATAATGTGGTATTGTTTTATCGAAGTTTAATTTATTTTCAAAGAGGCAAGGGATATCAATTTAGACGCAGAATAAAGCAGGCGCAGTCAGTTCCTGCGCTGCTACATGAGAGAAGAGTAGGGGATTGATTGCAACCTGCCGTGCTGCACAGTCGTGCAGTTGGAAACCCGAGGCAAAAACTGGATCTTACGATAAAGAACTTGATTGGTCCCAACATGGAGCCGTTGCTGCTTGGGCTGCAAAGAACTCTTCAAAACTGTCGGCCGTTTCATTGATGTTGCGCCTGCTTAAGTTTTCAATATGATGCAATCGGACATGCAACCGGACCTAAAACACGACTTTGTGGCAGCAGTGAAACGCATACTGGGTCCATGGGCCTGTCTGTAACGGTATCTGGCAATGTCTTTGAGATATCCGGCAATGTCTTTCAGAAAGAGAACAGAGCTTTTTCAGTAACTTTTGTGTAGGTTTGTCAAGATGTTGGTGGATGGTGAATGGCGAACGTAGCGATTAAGTCCAGGAAAGTCAGATTAAGTCCAGGAAAATACAGGTTCGAAAGACTCATTCGGCGAAGGACAATCAGAATCACAGCGTCCTCTGGAGAATGACTCGGGTTAGAACATGTTAGAACAATTTGTGAAAGTGGAATGAGATATTCCGATATTCCCAGGTATTGCAAAGAGTATGCATGTAATTTATGGTTCGGATGTTCATACCAGTGCAACAGCAACCAAAATCAAAGTCTTTTGAATCAAGGTCACAACTGCCCTTAGGTATACCCGGAATTCTGGAACAAGAGCTTGGCTTGTCCAAGAGTATCTTTCCATACTTGCCAAGGGACGAAGAGAAGATGCTCTCAGAAGAAAACATTGTGCCTGGCACCACGCTGACAGTCGTTGCAGCGGCCTGGCATGTGACAAGAGCAATGTGACAGCAGTTCACTGTGCAGTGGTTGGGGCCTTCAAATTCAATCAAGATTGAACACTTTCGCAGGCCCGTGATGATCGTTCAGATCGTTCCACATGCAACATATTATGTTTTCGTGTTTTGGGATGGCGGATAAAAAAACATGTTGTGCAGCATTGCATGTTCAGAATTCAACCATTCATGTCTGTCTATTGCGTGTGGATAATGAAGGCAAACATGGTTCACAAAGTGGCGGACCCTTAGCATGAGACAAACTCCCTAAAGAAATTTCCCGATTTCAAGGAAAGCACTGTAATTCACAAGCGGGTCGTCCGTCCACTTGGCAGCTGAGGTAAACCAGGCAGCAGAGGATGAGAAAGAAGCGGCAGAATGCTGGGCTCTCAGCAGTTGATCCCGGGTCTGCTCCCTGCATGGTCAGCGCTTTCTCGACACATCTCGACACACATTGCCCGAATTTACCAAACTAATTCTGAAACGATATGGTGCAAAATGTGTCAGAAGTTTTCAACGGAGGTTTTGCATTTTTGAAGATCAGCTTCATTTGATACTAGTGCGGCATGTCACTTCGGTTATTTTCAAGTGTGGAATTTTCTTGAAGCGTTTCATCGCTATGCTTCACCAATCATCATGATCTCTGATGTTATTGCACTTGGAAACACGGAGTCGGTGCCACCCGCCGCACCGCGACTGCGGCCTCCAGTAAAAGCTGTGCAATCGAGATCTCTTCATTTTGTTATGATCTTTTCATAATGTGTCAGCGACTACTGTTCAATTATAGCTGCCTAAATCGCCTGCAACTCCATATGTGCTGTTTCTTTTCTGTGCGGACAAACAAGGGAAGTTGGATCAATTTGATGAAATCATTGTGAGATCTTTGGACT